ACATTGAGAGGAATGAGTCTATACCCTCTGGGAGATCATTTACGTATATCAGAAACAGGATAGGTCCAAGCACAGAGCCCTGTGGGACTCCACTGGTGACTTCCCGCCTTTCTGAGGTCTCACCCCTCACTATAACTCTCTGCTTCCTCTTCTTCCTCATAACTCTGTGTGTGTGTGTGTGTGTGTGTACGAGGAGCGAGATTTAGCTCTAAAGCCCCACCTGGTTGCTCTTGAACTTGATATCAATATACCTCCCAACATGCGAACCATACATAGTCTTGAAGCTGTGAGTGGGGGGGGGCGCTGCTCCCCCTAAAACTCCCACTCCTTACGACCACTTTCCTTAGTTCATCTGTGTCCTCTGTGCCCCATTACCTGTTGTCCATCACCTGGAAAAAGACTGTCTCTCTCTCTCTTCATGTTACATTTTTCCCTCACAAAATCTGGTACGATGTGATCATGTCTACTGTGGCGCTTAGTTATCTTGGCCCAAGAGCTTGCGCTCGTCTTGCAAGAACATACACCTGAGCACATACACGAATAAAAGACAAACACAAACACACATATACACAGAGCTCCAAAGAGCTCCAAAAGAGCTCCAAAGAGCTACAAAAGAGCTCCAAGGAGCTCCAAAGAGCTTCATATACTTAACCAAAGAGCCAGAGCTCAACCCCCGCAAGCACAATTAGGTATGTACACAAACACACATATACACAAACACACATATACACAAACACACATATACACAAACACACATATACACAAACACACATATACACAAACACACATATACACAAACACACATATACACAAACACACATATACACAAACACACATATACACAAACACACATATACACAAACACACATATACACAAACACACATATACACAAACACACATATACACAAACACACATATACACAAACACACATATACACAAATACACATATACACAAACACACAAACTCACGCACGTACAAACACACCTGTAAAATAATAATATTAAATTAAATTAAACAACTCAGGTTTCTGTAAAACAATTAGCATTTAGTGTAAACAGCTCTGCACTTTTAGCCCTAACCAGGTACAGGGTCCTGGGAAAATGATAAAGGTCAGGTCATAGAAGCACAGAGAGAAAGGTCAGAGGTCAGCTGAAGACACAGCCGCAACACTACCAAAGATTAGGGTTAAGAGACTGAGACAAGAGAAAAGAAGTGTTTTAAGATGAACAAGAGGATCACATGACAGTAATGAAAATATGCGATGGAATATGAGAATATATGTGACTAATGATCGTGTGAGGTAATATGAGAATATATGTGACTAATGATCGTGTGAGAGAATATGAGAATATATGTGACTAATGATCGTGTGAGGGAATATGAGAATATATGTGACTAATGATCGTGTGAGGTAATATGAGAATATATGTGACTAATGATCGTGTGAGGGAATATGAGAATATATGTGACTAATGATCGTGCGAGGGAATATGAGAATATATGTGACTAATGATCGTGTGAGGGAATATGAGAATATATGTGACTAATGATCGTGTGAGGTAATATGAGAATATATGTGACTAATGATCGTGTGAGGGAATATGAGAATATATGTGACTAATGATCGTGTGAGGGAATATGAGAATATATGTGACTAATGATCGTGCGAGGGAATATGAGAATATATGTGACTAATGATCGTGCGAGGGAATATGAGAATATATGTGACTAATGATCGTGTGAGGGAATATGAGAATATATGTGACTAATGATCGTGTGAGGGAATATGAGAATATATGTGACTAATGATCGTGTATGAGGGAATATCGTGTGAGAATATGAGAATATATGTGACTAATGATCGTGCGAGGGAATATGAGAATATATGTGACTAATGATCGTGCGAGGGAATATGAGAATATATGTGACTAATGATCGTGCGAGGGAATATGAGAATATATGTGACTAATGATCGTGCGAGGGAATATGAGAATATATGTGACTAATGATCGTGCGAGGGAATATGAGAATATATGTGACTAATGATCGTGCGAGGGAATATGAGAATATATGTGACTAATGATCGTGTGAGGGAATATGAGAATATATGTGACTAATGATCGTGCGAGGGAATATGAGAATATATGTGACTAATGATCGTGCGAGGGAATATGAGAATATATGTGACTAATGATCGTGCGAGGGAATATGAGAATATATGTGACTAATGATCGTGCGAGGGAATATGAGAATATATGTGACTAATGATCGTGCGAGGGAATATGAGAATATATGTGACTAATGATCGTGCGAGGGAATATGAGAATATATGTGACTAATGATCGTGCGAGGGAATATGAGAATATATGTGACTAATGATCGTGCGAGGGAATATGAGAATATATGTGACTAATGATCGTGTGAGGGAATATGAGAATATATGTGACTAATGATCGTGTGAGGGAATATGAGAATATATGTGACTAATGATCGTGTGAGGGAATATGAGAATATATGTGACTAATGATCGTGTGATGGAATATGATAATATATGTGACTAATGATCGTGTGAGGTAATATGAGAATATATGTGACTAATATCGTGTGAGAGAATATGAGAATATATGTGACTAATGATCGTGTGAGGGAATATGAGAATATATGTGACTAATGATCGTGTGAGAGAATATGAGAATATATGTGACTAATGATCGTGCGAGGGAATATGAGAATATATGTGACTAATGATCGTGTGAGGGAATATGAGAATATATGTGACTAATGATCGTGTGATGGAATATGAGAATATATGTGACTAATGATCGTGCGAGGGAATATGAGAATATATGTGACTAATGATCGTGTGAGGGAATATGAGAATATATGTGACTAATGATCGTGCGAGGGAATATGAGAATATATGTGACTAATGATCGTGTGAGGGAATATGAGAATATATGTGACTAATGATCGTGTGAGAGAATATGAGAATATATGTGACTAATGATCGTGCGAGGGAATATGAGAATATATGTGACTAATGATCGTGTGAGGGAATATGAGAATATATGTGACTAATGATCGTGCGAGGGAATATGAGAATATATGTGACTAATGATCGTGCGAGGGAATATGAGAATATATGTGACTAATGATCGTGTGAGGGAATATGAGAATATATGTGACTAATGATCGTGCGAGGGAATATGAGAATATATGTGACTAATGATCGTGTGAGAGAATATGAGAATATATGTGACTAATGATCGTGTGAGGGAATATGAGAATATATGTGACTAATGATCGTGCGAGGGAATATGAGAATATATGTGACTAATGATCGTGCGAGGGAATATGAGAATATATGTGACTAATGATCGTGCGAGGGAATATGAGAATATATGTGACTAATGATCGTGTGAGGGAATATGAGAATATATGTGACTAATGATCGTGTGAGGGAATATGAGAATATATGTGACTAATGATCGTGCGAGGGAATATGAGAATATGTGACTAATGATCGTGCGAGGGAATATGAGAATATATGTGACTAATGATCGTGTGAGGGAATATGAGAATATATGTGACTAATGATCGTGTGAGGGAATATGAGAATATATGTGACTAATGATCGTGTGAGAGAATATGAGATATATGTGACTAATGATCGTGTGAGGGAATATGAGAATATGTGTGACTAATGATCGTGTGAGGGAATATGAGAATATATGTGACTAATGATCGTGTGAGGGAATATGAGAATATATGTGACTAATGATCGTGCGAGGGAATATGAGAATATATGTGACTAATGATCGTGTGAGGGAATATGAGAATATATGTGACTAATGATCGTGTGAGGGAATATGAGAATATATGTGACTAATGATCGTGTGAGGGAATATGAGAATATATGTGACTAATGATCGTGCGAGGGAATATGAGAATATATGTGACTAATGATCGTGTGAGGGAATATGAGAATATATGTGACTAATGATCGTGTGAGGGAATATGAGAATATATGTGACTAATGATCGTGTGAGGGAATATGAGAATATATGTGACTAATGATCGTGTGAGGGAATATGAGAATATATGTGACTAATGATCGTGTGAGAGAATATGAGAATATATGTGACTAATGATCGTGCGAGGGAATATGAGAATATATGTGACTAATGATCGTGCGAGGGAATATGAGAATATATGTGACTAATGATCGTGTGAGAGAATATGAGAATATATGTGACTAATGATCGTGCGAGGGAATATGAGAATATATGTGACTAATGATCGTGCGAGGGAATATGAGAATATATGTGACTAATGATCGTGTGAGGGAATATGAGAATATATGTGACTAATGATCGTGTGAGGGAATATGAGAATATATGTGACTAATGATCGTGTGAGGGAATATGAGAATATATGTGACTAATGATCGTGCGAGGGAATATGAGAATATATGTGACTAATGATCGTGTGAGAGAATATGAGAATATATGTGACTAATGATCGTGCGAGGGAATATGAGAATATATGTGACTAATGATCGTGCGAGGGAATATGAGAATATATGTGACTAATGATCGTGCGAGGGAATATGAGAATATATGTGACTAATGATCGTGTGAGAGAATATGAGAATATATGTGACTAATGATCTGACACTCAAAAAAAATTAATACCACAGACAACTCCTTTAAAATTTCAGGTATTCTAGCTTTTCCTTAATTTTCCGGGTCACAGGAACGGAAGTTTCAGGGGGAAAGCGCGAAGCCATTACGACTATATATCACGATAAGGATTATCGTGATATATAGTGATAAGGATTTGGGATGGGACGGGGGGAAATGAATGGTGCCCAACCACTTGGATGGTCGGGGATTGAACACCGACCTGCATGAAGCGAGTCCCTCCTTCTGTTGTCAGAACCCAGAGTGGTTGAACCCTAACACACCAATCTATGTCATCCAACTGACTGAGTGCAGTTGGATGAACAGTCAGAGACTATACTGAGACTCCTGGAACAGTCAGAGACTATACTGAGACTCCTGGAACAGTCAGAGACTACACTGAGGCTCCTGGAACAGTCAGAGACTATACTGAGGCTCCTGGAACAGTCAGAGACTACACTGAGACTCCTGGAACAGTCAGAGACTACACTGAGACTCCTGGAACAGTCAGAGACTACACTGAGGCTCCTGGAACAGTCAGAGACTACACTGAGACTCCTGGAACAGTCAGAGACTACACTGAGACTCCTGGAACAGTCAGGGACTACACTGAGGCTCCTGGAACAGTCAGAGACTATACTGAGGCTCCTGGAACAGTCAGAGACTACACTGAGGCTCCTGGAACAGTCAGAGACTACACTGAGGCTCCTGGAACAGTCAGAGACTACACTGAGGCTCCTGGAACAGTCAGAGACTATACTGAGGCTCCTGGAACAGTCAGAGACTATACTGAGGCTCCTGGAACAGTCAGAGACTATACTGAGGCTCCTGGAACAGTCAGAGACTATACTGAGGCTCCTGGAACAGTCAGAGACTACACTGAGACTCCTGGAACAATCAGAGACTACACTGAGGCTCCTGGAACAGTCGGAGACTACACTGAGGCTCCTGGAACAGTCAGAGACTACACTGAGGCTCCTGGAACAGTCAGAGACTACACTGAGACTCCTGGAACAGTCAGAGACTACACTGAGACTCCTGGAACAGTCAGAGACTACACTGAGACTCCTGGAACAGTCAGAGACTACACTGACACTCCTGGAACAGTCAGAGACTACACTGAGACTCCTGGAACAGTCAGAGACTACACTGAGACTCCTGGAACAGTCAGAGACTACACTGAGACTCCTGGAACAGTCAGAGACTACACTGAGACTCCTGGAACAGTCAGAGACTACACTGAGACTCCTGGAACAGTCAGAGACTACACTGAGACTCCTGGAACAGTCAGAGACTACACTGAGACTCCTGGAACAGTCAGAGACTACACTGAGACTCCTGGAACAGTCAGAGACTACACTGAGACTCCTGGAACAGTCAGAGACTACACTGAGACTCCTGGAACAGTCAGAGACTACACTGAGACTCCTGGAACAGTCAGAGACTACACTGAGACTCCTGGAACAGTCAGAGACTACACTGAGACTCCTGGAACAGTCAGAGACTACACCGAGACTCCTGGAACAGTCAGAGACTACACTGAGACTCCTGGAACAGTCAGAGACTACACTGAGACTCCTGGAACAGTCAGAGACTACACTGAGACTCCTGGAACAAAGCACAAGGTTGCCGAGGAGATATCAACGGAACATGGCCTAAAAAACACAGGGTTCAAAGTAAACAAAAATTTAGACGCGACTTTAAGTAAGCTCAAACATCAAAAGCTTGAGTTGAATGAGGTGAGGACGCAGGTACAGGGCCAGGTACAGGTACAGGTAAGATACAGGTACAGAAGCAGTAACAGGTAGCCCATAGAGTCCACCTTCAAGATAAATTCCCATCGACGCTCCTCCTGTGCGACACTTTCCCCGCTCGTAGCCGGCAGCAACGAGTTTCCCCTGCCAGACGCTGACATGGGATGTAGGAAGGTCTCTCAGTGCTCTCCGGGACGCGGTGGTGTGTAGACCGCTGCTGGATCTCTCCGGCGCATGCTCTCGTTCCTCGATCCAGGTCTCTACTGAGACCTTCCGACCTTTGTGTTTAAATATATAAACTGATTTGGGGGTCTTTGATGACCTCGCGCATGACAAAGACCTGAGAAATACTTTTTTTAATTGTGAAACCAAAATTAAATAATTTTCTTGCAAACTTGTTCGAGAAGTCTGTGGCATGCAAGTGAATCATTAAGACATTTCACAAGTGACTTAACAATTTGACGGTGAAAATAAGTGACATACTGATGCTATTCCGAGCAAATCATCCTGTCATCTAACTGTATCATAATTCATATGGTATTTAATTCCTCCTGAAGGTTTTACATTCTAAAACGAGATAAATCTTAATAATTTATCCTTGTGTATCACCTATAAACATATACAATTATAGAACCGAACAAAAATAGACAATATTGAAGTGAAAATCCCTCGAGTTGCCATTTTTTTATTCTGAGATAATCCTTCTCTTATCCCCCCAGAGGTGAAATAATCCTCCTCTTATCCCCCAGAGGTGAAATAATCCTCCTCTTATCCCCCAGAGGTGAAATAATCCTCCTCTTATCCTCCAGAGGTGAAATAATCCTCCTCTTATCCCCCAGAGGTGAAATAATCCTCCTCTTATCCTCCAGAGGTGTGCTAATCCTGAAGGAACTTGGCTGAGACAACGTACGAGGCTCCCAACTGGGAGTTCACCGGAGCGAGATGTCTCCTTAAACCCAACTTTATCCAGCCTGTGGGATTAAATGGAAACTTTTACTGTAAGTCAATCAGCTTTCCACACACAAAAATGGCGACGGTCTTAAAACTTGTTCAACAAAAACTATTAAACTCCAGAGATTGGCTTCTTAAGCAAGTCCCCTTCTGTAAGTTACACCTCAGATAGAGTAGCACCAACGGAAGTAACACTAACGGTAGTAACACTAACGGTAGTAACTCCAACGGAAGTAACACTAACGGAAGTAACACTAACGGTAGTAACACTAAAGGAAGTAACACTAACGGAAGTAACACTAACGGAAGTAACTCCAACAGAAGCAACACCAACGGAAGTAACACTAACGGTAGTAACACTAAAGGAAGTAACACTAACGGAAGTAACACTAACGGAAGTAACACTAACGGTAGTAACTCCAACGGCAGTAACACTAACGGAAGTAACTCCAACAGAAGCAACACCAACGGAAGTAACACTACCGGAAGTAGCACTAACGGAAGGAACACTAACGGAAGTAACACTAACGGAAGTAACACTAACGGTAGTAACTCCAACGGCAGTAACACTAACGGAAGTAACTCCAACAGAAGCAACGCCAACGGAAGTAACACTAACGGAAGTAGCACTAACGGAAGGAACACTAACGGAAGGAACACTAACGGAAGTAGCACTAACGGAAGTAACACTAACGGAAGTAACACTAACGGAAGGAACACTAACGGAAGCGACACTAACGGAAGGAACACTAACGGAAGTAACACCAACAGAAGCAACACCAACGGAAGTAACACTAACGGAAGTAACACCAACGGAAGTAACACCAACGGAAGCAACACCAACGGAAGCAACTCCAACGGAAGCAACTCCAACGGAAGGAACACCAACGGAAGCAACTCTAACGGAAGGAACACCAACGGAAGCAACTCCAACGGAAGTAACACCAACGGAAGTAACACCAACGGAAGTAACACCAACGGAAGTAACACCAACGGAAGTAACACCAACGGAAGTAACACCAACGGAAGTAACACTAACGGAAGGAACACTAACGGAAGCAACTCCAACGGAAGGAACACCAACGGAAGACAAAAAACCCGCCGTGGCTGCCTTATACAAAGATCTCCGAAGACACACCTGGAACATACCTGTAGCGTGTGTTGAGGGTTCTTCTGTTCCCCCGGTCTTAAGCGAGCTTGTGATCATTTGGTCCAACAGACTGTTGTTGTTGTTGTTGTTCGCAGCGGGCTAACAGATCTCTAACAGCCTCGTTGGACTCATCGTGTTCCCTAGTTACGTTATCCTGCTCCTGCTCATCGCGAATCTTCCTCTGAGAGTTACTTTGACTAATCGTTAAGTAGCTACTTGCAGTCAGTCCAACTTTTCTCAAAATTTTTTAATTTTATCGTTAAAATGGTGTCGAAGTAATTAATTTTGTGGCCCATCTTTTCCATATTTGTGGCCCTACTTTTCAGACATTTGTGGCCCTCCTTTTCCACATCTGTGGCCCTCCTTTTCCACATCTGTGGCCCTCCTTTTCCACATCTGTGGCGCATCTTTTCCAGTATAAAGCAATCCCATCACCCACCCACACTACTGTCAATTCTGATTCAAAAGAAACAAAGATTCCAGGATAGAGAATTGTAAAGGTATCGCGCCGTCCCCTCACCCAGTATAGAGAAAGTTCCCGACTTTTGCTTTCTGTGTCGACAAATTGCTTTCTCTGTGTAAAGCTGGTGGAAGCGCTATGGATTACGAAAGTGTTTGTGCGTGAGAGAGGAAAAATAAAAACCATTATCTGGCGAAGAGATTCACGGGGATTAAGGCAGATCTCGTCAATCCCAGAGAAACCCAAGCCTCCACCCCGCCTCCTGTCTCAATTAACTGGTAAAAGCCTTTGGTGGAGAGGAGGACTAAGTGAAGGACTAGAGAGTCAAGTGAAGGAGAGATAGAAGTGAAGGAGAGAACTTAGTGAAAGAACTAAATGAAAGAAGAGAAAACTGTTTCCAAGATACCATTTTCTGATCCTAAATCGTTGTGGTAAAATTAAAGAAAATTGGAATTCAGACTTTTTATTTAGTGAACAGTGGGAGAAGCTGTTGAAGAAGGAGAAGGAGGAGAAAATACCTAGAGAATACCGTTGAGAGGAAGGCTTAAGCCAGGCCTTCAGGAGTGACTGTTCGCAGTGGAGTGTGTCAGTCCGTCTTGCCGACCCGGACGGAAGAGCAGATAGAAGTAATCCCTAGAGATGATCCGGTGAGCGCTCCCCCGCCCCTCCGGTCGGCCGCTCCACACATACCGGAGACACCGGCTAGTTATCCTTCACCTCTTACCACACAGCGGGATGAAGGTAAGCTCTATACGGCTCTCAGTTACACGACGGGCTCACCATAGCCCGTGCTACTTCGAACTTGGAGCTCAAATGTGTCTCAAATGTTCTTTTAAGCTCATTATGGCTCAGTCGGTAATGTGTGTGTGTCTGGGCTCTCAGTTACAGCCCCGCTCCTGTGCCAGGTTAGTACACGACGGGCTCACCATAGCCCGTGCTACTTGGAACTTGGAGCTCAAATGTATCTCAAATGTTCTTTTAAGCTCATTATGGCTCAGTCGGTAATGTGTGTGTGTGTCTGGGCGAACCAGAGATGTAAATTCGATACAATTTCATTGACTCAATAGTTTTTCAAACTATGCTAGGTTAGATAGTTATACAGTAAATTAACCCATTATTAATTAAAGTGGTTGGGCACTATTCCTTCCCTCCGATCCATCCCAAATCCTTATCCTGATCCTATCTACGCGCGATGTAGCCGTAATGGCTTGGCGCTTTCTCTGGATAATTCCCTCCCCCTATTATTAATTAATCGGTTTAATTAACACCAGCGAAATATCAAACAAGGCCCTTATCAACCACCCGCCTTGTTCCGACAGCCGTGGCAGGTAATCATCCCCGGCTTGTGATGAGTGAAGTGTAAACACCATTACCAAACTCCCAGTTAATCACCATCAAGTTAAAAATATAACCAGAAATGGCAGGTTGTTAGCGCTCTCTTGAAGGCCTCAAACGAGGACCCCAGCGAGTCTGTGATTGGTCCTCATGACTGCTCGCTCTCTGCCCTAAACCAGGGGCCAGATTCACGAAAGCAGTTACGCAAACACTTACGAACCTGTACATCTTTTCTCAATCTTTGGCGGCTTTGTTTACAATTATTAAACAGTTAATGAGCTCGGAAGCACCAGGAGGCTGTTTATAACAATAACAACAGTTGATTGGCAAGTTTTCATGCTTGTAAACTGTTTAATAAATGTAACCAATGCCGTCAAAGATTGAGAAAAGATGTACAGGTTCGTAAGTGTTTGCGTAACTGCTTTCGTGAATCTGGCCCCAGGTTTATAGTATCACTATATCGCGGGGACACTAAAAAAAAAAGCCCCGAAATCATCTCAAGATAACCTCAAGAAGATATCCATCAATTTGTATCGTTCAATATCGTTTACATCATATATCGATTACATTACATCATATCATCAATATCATTATCGTCATTTCATCTTCTCATCACCAATATCATCAATTAATAGTTCATTAAATTGTGTTGCTCAGTGGTCTATATTTCACAACATTGTTCGCCACGGTCGAGCGTCAGTTATTATTGTTTCTCTTCATATATTTAAAGTTTTTAAGCACAGTTTTCCAGGCAGGTGTTGCTGCGTGACATAGCATTGGACGGCAGATCTAGAGGTTCTGGTTCGAGCCCTGGCGACCACTAAGGAAGTGATAGCCGAGGCTATATGAACCTTAAAAGCATTTTATCAAATCACCTCATTCTTTGATTATACAACTGAAAACATAAATAAGGAAGTGATAGCCGAGGCTATATGAACCACTTCCCCGCCGGCACTCGGATGGGCATAGCATTTTATCAAATCACCTCATTCTTTGGGGCATGAGGAACACAAATGCAAACAAGCCTGAATGGTCCCCAGGACTATATACAACTGAAAACTCACACCCCAGAAGTGAATACTCCCACAACTGGTATGTACAGGGACGCCTTAATCCGCTTGACCATCACGACCGGACTAAGGAAGTATAGCCGAGGCTATATGAACCACTTCCCCGCCGGCACCTGCCAAAACTCACACCCCAGAAGTGACTCGAACCCATACTCCCACAACTGGTTTAACAACCAGCGTACCCATTTACTGCTGGGTGAACAGGGGCTAAAGTCAAGGATTGGCGCCCAGTAAATCCTCCCTCGGCCAGGATACGAACCCAGGCCAAAGCGCTCTCGAAACGTCAGGCGAGTGTCTTACCACTTCGCCACGGGGATTGCTGTGTTCCCAGCAGTCTAGTCAAGCTTTTAGCTTGACTAGACTTTTAGCTTTTAGCTTTTTTAGTCAGCAGGCTGTGCAAACTGACTGGGAGGTAGTTGTGGCTGAGCCTAAGACTAACAGCCATAAAGTCTAAACGTCTCAACCACATTATGACGCCATTCTGACGGGTATATAAGTTAACTACCGCTTGAGCGTGACGGGTATATATAAGTTAACTACCGCTGGAGCGTCTTCTGGGTGAGCGCGGAGATCCGCACTTGGGCTGGTCCCACGGGGCTCACAATAACAGCCCCGACCACCTCCGCTCTCTACAATGTCTCCAGCAGTTACCTCCATCTTCAGGCCAATTACCCTCGTAATTGGCCAGTTGAGGCACGTGCTCCATCCCCTCCCCCCCCCTCCGGTGCCCCTCCCCCCCTACTCTCTACATCATCCTGTGTTCCCGATTATCATTCCCACAATCATCATCATCACCATCACACAATCACCCGAGCAACAAATCCTCACTTTCTTAAAGACAGCCTGAGCTGTAATGCTAGTTTGACTGGTAGCAAATTATCTAACAAATTTTGGGTGAGGTCTTTGACTGGGGGCTAAGACTGGGGGCTAAGACTGGGGACTCGAATCTCCCCATGAATGGACGCTAGTGTAAACAAAGCCCCAGATATCCCACACCCTGGGGGGGGGGAGATATCTGGGGGATATCCCAGATATCCCTTGGAAAGATATCCTACACACCGTGTATATCTTTCCCCCCAATAACAACATAGTCTTGGCCTGTAATTGGGAGACAGATGTGGTGACTGAGGACTTTCGTCAGGCAGGCTGGTCTCTCGCCCTCTAATCTGCGAGAGTTATTTGTAGGTCCAGATTGGCGAATCACCTGTTGTCTTGCGCTGGGTAATAGGTTGACCCCGGGCCGTGGTCCTGGGTCGACAGGGTGTCCAGGGACTAATTAAGGTCGTTGGTCAGCCGAGGGCAGATGACCTATGCTCGTGTAGGTCCACCAGTCATGAGAGGTCATGGTTGTAAGTCGACAGAAAACAGTGGAGAAAGTAAAATATATTTTCCTGAAAAGATCGTCATGTTGTATTCAAAAATTTTGAGGATTGATCCATAATAAATTACCTCAATATTCATATACAATACCTTGTATTGTATAAGCTTCAACTGCAATGAGGGGATTGTATTCTTTAAATTTGCACTATACCGATAGCACTAACATCACATATCATAAAAATCTTTGAAAGAGTGCTAAGAAGATCACAAAATACATGGAATCACATCACAGCATCTCCATAACCCCGGACAACATGGTTTCAGAACAGGGCGCTCTTGCCTGTCACAGCTGCTGGACAATAACAACAGATGATTGGCAAGTTTTCATGCTTGTAAACTGTTTAATAAATGTAACCAAAGCCGTCAAAGATTGAGGCAAGATGTACACGTTCGTAAGTGCTTGCGTAACTGCTTCGTGAATCTGGAATCTGGACCCTGAACAAGAGGAAGCTACCAGGCACCGAGGGCCTACCAAATGGTCCTCCCAACACGGGCAGATAAATTACCAAACCAACACATTAGAAATGAAATGAAAATGGCGTTTCGGTCCGTCCTGGACCCTTATCGTGTAGCAATAACGGCCCTGAACAACTCATCATCACATCCATGTGTGTAGCTTGGATTATTTGTGTTCGGCCAAGTTATTGCTACTTGCGTTCCGCACTGGCAGGCTCTCAGCGCGAGGCTGTCGCGATACATTATCTCCCACGCAATTCCAAATCATGCCGGCAGAATTAATCTCGTCTCTCTTAATAGCGGGAGGACTGCCGGCAGGATATTCATCAACTCTTAAGGCAATCTGTGCACCGGGATGAGCCGACCAGAATCACTCATTAATACCTCCAAGTTTTATAAAAA